GAGGAGCATGTAGACGAGGCCATCAGACTCTTCCTGTGCTCCACGATGGATGCCGTCAACCAGGGCAGCAACCAGGGAAGCAAGGAGCTAAACGAGGAAGTCAGCAGATTAGAGACGGAACTCAAGCGTCGTCTTGCTGTTGGATGGGGCACAAGTCTCGCAAGTCTGAGACGCGAGATGGTCGAACAGAAGGGGTACAGCGAGCAGGCCCTCAACAGGACGCTGATGATCATGCAGAGGAGGGATACAATCATGTTCCGGAACCAGGGTGCGCAGGTGTACAGGAATGCAATTTGAGGTTTGCTATGATTCAAGCACTGCTTTTAGTACCCCGCGTCACTGCGGTAGATGGTTTTGAGGGTTACGGCGGCAGCATTCTGCATATGAAAGAAATGATAATACCAAGCCCTTTGTAATGGGATATGATTTGGGGAGTCTCGAAATGTCACTTTTGCCGAGGAACAAACGCAAGCGAGGGACCAAGGTGTGATGTACTCTTTAATTGCCCACGATCTCACAAGCCGATTCTATCTCCAAGCCGACCAACTTTGTGGCAGATAAGCAGACCACCTTCGATGGACCATTTAGTATCCGAGTGTGCTACCCTCCAACGCCTCGAAAGAGTGCTCATGTCGAAACACTGTGTGGACCTGGATGACTTGAAAAACTGTTAGCCGCATGAGCTGGAAGATTCCGCGCGCTTCCAAAACGTTGTGATAACAGAGCGATTCAGATATGCCAGTTTTCCGCAGGCCCAACCCGGTCGAGTGCATTGGCCAAAGCCGCCGCGCTCGCGGCTGAGCAGTCGGTTTACCAGATGCATGGGTGTCATCCGCATCTCCAAAGGGGGTTATATTCATTTGGACATGATACTATATACTGCGTACCTTTTGACGTTGCAGGAGCCATGTTCCTGATTACCTAGGGGCCAGGTGCAACTCCCATTTCGGAGCTCTACTAAAAGTGTGTTGTAGATGGCTAGGTAACCAACATCACGTCACATATCAGAAGGCGTATAGCAGAGAGATAGAGAGAGAAAGAGCGCCTCAATACGAGGGCATGTCCAAACTTGCATCAGGTGATCGTCGCATCATGGGAAGCCGCACGAGGGGCCCTCGCTGACGATTGTTTTTAACAAGGGCATTGAAAGAGTTCATCTTGACTCATCCTCAGGTCTCGTCCAGCAGCGTAGAATGTGATGTGAAATCGTTGCAGGCTGGCGATTATTTTGATTAAGGTGGTCTTAGGTTTAAGGAGAGAAGAGGAATGGCAAAAGGCTGCTCGCGGTCGCGAGGTTTAAAAATTGCAGAGCCTGCCCGCCCGGCCCGTTCTGCGGTGTGGGGCTGATACATCACCACGTGACTTTGATGCGTTGTGGTGTTGTGGTTTGGGTGTGGTTACCTCAAGGCTTACGTACACACCGTGGGATCGTTACTTCTGGGCACCTTGGTCTGCTTATGTAAGATGCCTACTGTGTATGTCCAAGCCTGGTCAGGTACGCTGCCTGCCGGTTGCCTGATCCGGCCACGCCCCTCCCATCTCGAGGTGGCAGGGTGGGTGCGTGCCAGCGTGGTGAACCTCAACTCCAAAGAGTCCAGCCGTCAGGGCCCGGTGATCGGGTGTCGGGTGTCGGAGCACGGTGGCCATGGTTTCCTGGACGATTCACTGGTGGAGGGGGCCTTGCTTTTGGCTCCGGTCCCAGAAACAGCAGACTATCACTCTCACCCCCCCCCCTGTTGTGTCAGGCTCACTCCCTCCACTCTCCCAGTCTTCTCTCCCACTCCCGCGGCAAACTGCCATTTGCCCACCTCACTCCCTCTTCCGCCGCCGTCGGGACTCACGTAGGGTAGGTACTCACACCCTCCCCCCCTCCCCCATCTTCCCTCCCTCCCGCCCTCTGAACCTAACCAGCCAGCCCAGGCTTACCTCACCTCACCCACCTTACCTTTCCGTAGCGGTAGCGGTACCTAATCCGCCAGTGTCTTTTGCCAGTGCCAGCCAGCGCAACCCACGGCCCAGCCAGTCCCAGCACCGTACCAGCCCAGGCGGCCACCCCCGTTAAGCGAGCAAATTGCCTCGCTCATGTGTCCGCCCCCTTCACTCTACGCTGCGCCATTCAGACTTCACTTCTACCAACTCCACCACGACCTGACGGCTTGACCACGGCACAAATCGACCACCGACCCTCGACAGCACTCTATCGCCGTCGGATTACTTTCGCTACGAGTGTATCTGCTGGATATCGTCATCAGGAAAAATTTTAACCCCCACGACAAGGCGCCGACGATCCACGAGGAAGCCGAGAGTGGTGCATGACGCTGTATCGGGGGATTGAGAGCCGTCGGCGGTTTGGCGCGACTCGCCACAACAACCCCCTCATCCTCTGATCTCGCCCAGAGCGAACATTCCTATCGAGCGCATCGTGGAATCCGGTTGAAAGGGATCTTGAGAGGCATTTTCGGGAAAAGAGTGATTTTTCTTTCTTCGCGCCTTCCGATTCGGAGACGTCGTGACAGCAGCCGCCAACCCTTCGTCCATTTCGACTTCCTCACCCTCACCGATCCGCGGCAATTACGACCACGACGCCCACGGCGACGAAGACACGATTCAAACTTCCTGCCATCGGCGAAGTCAACATGTCTTTCCATCCTCGAACCCCTCAAAGCCCTTCTCAGTTTTCTCCGGCAACTTCCGATCTCACATCGAGCATGAACAGCTCGGCCCCGTCCACAGCCACCACTCTGCCGACACCCGCCCACAGCGTCAACGGCAGCGCATCGCAGCCCACCGATATGTCGCAGGATATCGTCATGGGCGATGACTCGCCTCATAAACGCAAGCGCCCACTCGAGGATTTGGGTGATCGAGATCAGAAGAAAGCCCACATCGAGGATAGCAAAACTGGTATCGAGGCACTCCACCTGGATGTCGGAGAGAAATACCTACTTTGCCAAACTCGTAAGGCTCCCTTCAAAGTCCCCTGTTTCCGTGGCAGGCTGTCTCTGTCTTGCCATCTTCCCTCCCCTACGGCCTATCTAGTATTTTGGGCCGGTTCAATGTCGGACATATTTGGTTAACACTGAGCTAAATAGCGCACCACGAGAGACTGCCGCGTATCACGGAAGACCTCTTCGAGATGTTCAATCTTTCGGGCATCGCTGCAGAAGTCGCTCGCGAAAAGCCCAACGGTGAGAAGAACGCTCTGCGGAAGACATACAAGGGTCAAATCAAGAAACTCGGAATTCTCGGCCGCTTCGACTCCGTCGCCCAGGACTGGGATGCTCCGAGAGAAAAGGACAGCGAGAGCGGCGACAAGAAGAGAGACGTCTACCACGGCTTCCGGGAATTGCTGGAGATTCCCGATGCCGAGTATTGGGGCACGCGGAACGACCCTATCACCAGTGGTCTGTCTGCTACTGTCAAGTCGATGCTCAACCGAGCAACGACTATGGCCAAGGGTCCGCTTCCCGTCAAGGACTGGGACAGCTCAGTTCTGGGAGACCTGACCCCGGGCAGCATGGAAGCCTTGAGACAGGGTCTCGGTGGCAAGGTGACAGCCCCAGGTACGCCTTCTGCAACCACACCCAACCCCTTTGCGCGAAAGCAGCAACAGGGACCTCAGGGGGCTGTTCGTCCTCAACGGACGACCAAGAAGCGCGGCTACGGCGATAATAGCTTCGAGGGATATGGCGAAGGCTTCCCTGACGACGGCTACTCTACGGGAGATGGCGATGATAGGGGAGGCCAGAAGCGTCGTAAGAAGGTTAGTAACGTTGCATTCATACAAGACCTAACTGATCTAACTGGCTACGCTAGGATAACGGCAACGGCCAGACATTCCCGAACACGATGCGTCCGCAAGGCTACGGATCCAGCGCCGTGGGTGCTTAGAAGCCACCTCCGGCGACTAAGGTCGGCAACCGCCGAAACGCTCGCAAAAAGGGCTAAGCCCAAACAGTGCCTTGATCTCATTTCCACGACTGGCCATCGTGTTGGATATCGCGGGTCTGCAATCACGTTGCTGCTGGCACCGAACTTTTGGGTTGCGAATCAGATCTATGCTCGTTGAATGACGACGAGGCAGCCCTGCAGGAAGATTGAGGGCTAGCGGTTGACGACGACGCAACATGCGCGCGTCAAGCGAGGTATCGCTTCGAGGGTAACGGGGGCAAAGACGGCGGTTGGGCGGGGACATATCTGCCCCTTTTGATGAATTTTTCCACTTCCAGCAGGGCGTTCAGGGGTATCAACTTACTTCCTTGTTAACATTTTACTCTTTTTGCTTTTTTTTCGGTTTTTCAACGCATTCAGTCGAGGTTGGGCAAACGAGAAAAAAACATGACCGACTGAAAGAAGGGACGGGGAAAAAAAATACCACGCGGCTTCACAATGGGGAGGGGCGAGGAGGGGGAGGGTCATTTCTAAAGACTGCTACGAAAGGGGACGGGATCATTTTACCACGAACCACGACCACCACAACCACAAAACCAATCATCACAAATCACCATCATCACCATCACCACCATCACCGGACACTTTCAAAGAAAAAAAAATCATTTCTTCCCTCTCCCAATCCCACACAGACACACAGAGAAAGGCAAAGGGGGACGGACTTCAAAGGCAGGGTCGTTGTAGCACTAACACAAACAAAACCACAACAAGTAATTCCAATAGAAGGCGTGGAGAAGCCTCTACACACACAAAACACACACTAGCTATTGTATGAAATCGTGATTCGCCTATGCTTTCTTATTTTGTCAGGGTTGTCAACAAGCCCCTTGTTCACTGCTGTGTGTTCACATTGTGAGGTAAGATGACTTGTACTAAAGTTAGAAACTCCTTGTCCGGTACCAACTTCACTGGACTAGACTACCGCCTTCTAGACATGGACAGTCCTGCTGCCTCATCTTGCCCATCTCCCAAGTCCACGTATGTACCCAGAGTACAACGTGAAGGTGCCCAAACCTCACCAGCATCAAGGTACCAAGCTACCAAGGCCATCAAGGCATCTCCATTATCGCCCTGACGCTCAAGTCATCATGGACCCAGCCCACGATACGCTCCCCGACGTCGCCGATGAGGGTGTCGTAGTGCGGGCCTGGAAGAAAGAGACCGCAGTGGGCGCCGACCTCGTCCATGCCCTCCATGTACACCGACACCCACGTCTCGTCGCGTTTGCCATTCTTCTTGCTGGGTAGAGTGCAGAATTTCCGCTCCTTTTTGGGTTTGTCCGGTTTCGCATTGGATGATTTGGCATTGGCTTTGGAGTGGGAGTGGGAGTTTGAGCTCGAGTGTGCGGCGACGGCCTTGGGGCGGCTTGGGATCATGTTGTTGGTGGTCGTGCTGGCGGCTCCCGTCTGCGTGGTGTCGACGGATACCGCGGAGGACGAAGATGGTGCGGCGACGGCGGGCGGCCGGTCTTTGACTGCGGCCGCGGCTCCGGCAATGACAGTCGCCGCCATCTCGGCTTCGACCTCTGCAGACTTCTTCTCCTCCTCCTCCTTCTCCTCCTCCTCCTCCTCCTTCTCCTTCTCCTCCTTCTCCTTCTCCTTCTCGTCGTCATCCTCGGCGTCACTATCGAGCGGCTCCCCGCGTAACCTCCTCCCCTCCCTCTCCATCCTCTTAGCCTCCTCCGCGAGCCTCCTCGCCTCCTTCTGATCGTGCGTCTCTTCGGCAGCCTCTTTCCGGGCCGCCTCCTCCTCCTGTTGCCGCCGTTTTTGTTCTTCCTTTTGCAACTTCAGGCCTTCCTTTTCGATCCTCTGCGCTTCCTTGGCCGCCTCCTTTTCCACCTTTTTGCGGCGCTTCTCGACGAGCTTCTGGCGCTCCTTGATGGCTTTATCGCGACTCTTGACGGCGGACTCGTACGCCTTTTGGGCGCGCTTGCCTTCCTTCTCGGCTTGTTTCCGGGCGTCCTTGTCGGTGTACCTATCTAGATCCGGAGGCGTCGGCTGTTCAGGGAGGTCGGGGATGGGTGGTAGTTCTGCTTCGGGTATGACGTCTCCCATGGGCAACGCTGCGCCGGCCTCGGGACTTTTCTCCGTCTCGTCGGCGGCCTCGGTTGAAGAAGTTGAAGCAGGCACGGTTTCTTCGACTTGGGTGTTGGCATGGGGTGTCTCGTGCGAGTCAACATCGCCTTCTTTCCCCTTACCCTTTGATTCGCGCGTTTCCATGTCGAGCGCATCAGCCGAGTGCGAACCTGCCTCTGTATCGTGGTCAAACCGTGCCTGCTGTTCCTCGTGGAGCGTCGAAAGCCGTTCGTCAATGTCCTCCATTGGGATCGGCTCGAGCAGTTCCATTTCCTGCCCATCATCAGACGACAGAGAGATCCTGGGCGTCGACGAAGACGGTGGAGATAGATGAGAGCCGACCTGCAACGTACTCGGGGCCGCGCGATGCTCGGGGGACGTTGGTGACTCGGGGGACTTTGGCGAGTCTGGCGTCTTTGGCTTCTTGGGTCTGCCGGAGCTGAGGGTATAGTAGTTGATGAAGCGGACCCTGACCGGCGTCGGCCGGTTAACGTTGTTGCCGTAGTTATTGCCGTCGCCCATGTGCTGCAGCGGGTCGACGCTCTCCATGGCGCGGAGCTTGTTGTATCGGGCGTTGAGGCCAGGATAATCCGCCAAGCAGCCGCCGTATTCGAGATGAGACATGACGTGGTTCTTGGTAGCGTCCCAGATGCCCTCGCGGCTGTGCTTCTTTGCAAAGTGACCCAGCCGCCTCATGAAGGTACGATCTTTGAGATTCACGTCGTTGAAGAAGGATGGGTTATAGGTGGGATCCGGCTGCTGCGGCGGTGCATTGCTCGAAGACATGGATGGTGTGTTGCTCGGGTGCGGTGAGAGGTCTGCACCCAGTGAGCTCGTCGTCTCCAGGGTGTACATGGACGGGCTGGGACTGGTCAGGGCCGAGTTGGTAGGGCTTAGCTGGTTGGAGACCTCGTGCTCTGGCTTCTCCTCTGTTGGAGAGGCCGGTCTGAATAAGCTGGAGATGCCGGCGACAATGATGCCGGGGTGAAGCCCAAGGAACGGTGAATCCAGTGAGATGGTGCCGAGGATGCGATGCTTGTACGGGTGGCGCCTATATGGGTGCCGGTTAGGCTGGAGACTATGTCAGTCAAGTTGTCCACCGCCCTGGAGAGTGTATGTGGAAGTCCTACCATCATGGCAACCTCGGCCGCGAGCAAGCCTCCCATCGAGTGTCCGACGAGGATGACATCAGTCGATTCGGACTCGTGCGGCTCCAGCCACTGGCTAAAGTTGTCACGAGCCACATCGATGGCCTTGTACGTCTTGTAGCGGGGGTAGATTTTGGAGTGTACGACGTGCGTCTCGGCGAGGGCTTCTTTGAGGTGATTGTGAACGTGAGCGGGGAACGAGCGAAAGGACGACTCGTTACCGTAGAAGCCGTGGATGTAGATGACGAGCAGGGTTCGGCGGGTGACGCCGTCGCGGTCCTTTGTGGATGGGGCAAGCGAGTGAGCCGATGAGGACCTAGGATCGGCGAGGCGCCACTTGGAGTCCACGATGCCGAGACCGTCGGCGGCAGAGGAGGAGGAAGGGTAGCCAGAGGGGAAGCCCGAGGACGGACCGGCGACGGCGGCGGCGGTGGGTGGGGGCGGGAACTGGGTCGTGGACGGGGAGCCAAAGTGACCGGAGCCGGAGGCGGATGCGGTCACGGAGTAGGGCGGCGGTGGTACGGACGAGGACGAGGACCCGTCGTACGCGTAGCCGGACATGACGTCAGATTATGGGCAAAGCCCAGAGGTGTGTATGATGTGGTGGTTTAAAAGGTGCTGTACTGTATCTGTACTACGGTGTATGTGGACAGGAGTGAAAGAGGAGGGGGAGGGGGTGCAGGGGCCGTAAAGCTTGGGGAGGGGTAAAAGGAAGGAAGGGCGACCAAGACGAAGAATGCTTTAGGGATGAGGGCTTCCAAGTGTGACCGTGTGCGTAGGTGTTTTGCGATACGGAAATGGAAGAAGGAAGGATGGAGTCGGATGTCTAGATATAACACGGAGGGCCAAAGACCCGTCACGGCTAACGGGCATTGATGAGGAGTAGGAGTAGGAGGAGACCGTGGGCTATTTCATTTGACATTTGCCTTGGTTGAGGTGCTTGCTGCAAGATGCAAAAGTCTGGCCCAGGCGCGCGTTTTGGTCCTGATGAGTTCCAATGTACTGTAGCTTTGCCGTGCCGTGGTAGGTCGAGGTCAGGTACTTACTCCAAGGTCGGCAGAGAAGCAGAGGTAAGGTAGAGAGGTAGGGATGCAGCTGTGGGATGACTGTTGGAGAGTGGATATACGAAGTACCCGAGTGGTGCGGCGCCGTACAGAATACGCGGGAAAAGCGAAACTCGGGTACTTGGTCTCTCCTACCTTACCTCATCCGTATCTGGCTTGACCTTATTAATACGCATACCTTACCTTTTGGTGAGAAACCTCATTGCGCCGCTGCTGCGCCCGGTTTTCCAGGTGGACAGGTACCCGTACCCCAACTGCATCACCTTATTTCTTTTAACAAGCAGCCAAGTACGAAGTGCCCGACGGCAAGAAGGCATCTCAGTCACCTCCCGGCGGAGACCTAGAGCCTCTAGAGGAAAGAAAAAGAGTAGTCGAGCCACCACAGCCACCTGGCGCTAGCCTGTATCAGACAATCAGATAATCAGCCCCAGACGAGCACTGGCCTATGTACTAAGATGACTGGCTCCCGCCAGCCACTGGCGGTTAAAGATGCCGGAGCCACGTTTGGCAGCCACTCCCAACCCAACCAAAGTTGGCAAGCAGGAATGACGACATGCTGCAACCTCGAAACAAAGCAGTCGCAACCTCCTTGGCGAACCACCTCACTTCCCAGTTCCGCGCGTTGCGTCTCGTCCTTGAGATGTCGCATCTGATGCGGCCAGTTTTTTGTTTTTTTTCTCGCGCGGTTCGCGGTTCAGTCGTTGATGGGCACAAACACAGGCTTACATGCAGCATAGCCATTTACTTACACCCAACTGTTGTGCCTGAGTCAGCCGCGCTTGATAAAACTCGCAAGTCGCAAACCAGACGTGAATCGCGGCATTCAAGTTTGGCATCTGGGGGCGCAGGGCTCAAAAAAGCCAAGTCGGGATTTTTTTATGGCCGCGCCTACCTGCCTACCCAGTTCCTAATTTCAGAACTCTGTACGCCGATTCAAACTTCAGGGCAGTGTCGAAAGGAAGCTGCCAGGGCTATACGAGACAGACTTTTTGTCTCGGAGGTAATTTATCGCTTTCCTCTTCACCTCAAGAGCCTCATCCAGTCTTCTCGTCTCCAACAAGGTCCAAGGGGGGGGGGGGGGGGAACAAGACTTTTGTCATTGACAGTTGCGCCAAGCCGGACGTCAATAGCCACTGCATTATTCGCCCAGAGGGTTGAGAAATTCTTCAAGAAAATTATACCGTTTCCACTGGTCCATGACACAAAACAGGACCACCCTTGCGGCTTTCCCTTTCCAAGTTTCCTTCGATACAACACTGCGCGAACTCTATCTGTGCTTTAATGAGCTTGCTGGTCAGTGGTTGAATTCGTAACAGTGTCATGTTCGGCAGGTGTCCAACAACCAAACAAATCAGTTATAATCAAAAATTGAGCACTTGCATTTGTGCAGGTTTTGTAGACCACCAACCCTTTTGCCAATCAGCGTCCTTCACGGCGCAGACCGTCAAGTTTGATTTCGATATCCTCTATCCCTGTCACCCACTCCTTGAAGATGGTCCCCTCTAAAAATCAAGTTGGTTGAGAAAGAAAATCCCCGTTCTCTCAGATGAACGTCCCATCGTCCTGTTGCGGCCACTTTCCTCGATTCGGGGGCCGAGGGTAGGGCAGGGGCCGCAGGGCATCGCCATGGGTGATGGGTCATTTGGGAGATTACACAGATTAGATTGGAGACTCCATCATCGCTCTTCTCCGTTGCAACCGTCGCCCACTCCAATAAAAGTTTGTTAGAAAACCTCGAGTGGGTTTCCATCGAAAGGGTTGTTATTGTCTGCTTCTGCTTGGTCTGCCATGCTGTCAGGCATGGTCCGCCAAAGGAGAATAAAAATATCGAAACGGCGCCCGGTAGTTGATAGACATGGTTCCGCGACGCCAATTCCCTCATCTTCAGGTGGACGTTCGTCCGTCGGGACGACGGGGTCCAAGGTTTCCAGAAGGATGGGGCCTAGAACGAGACAACAAGAGAGAACAGACAGACGACAGACAGGTACCCGTACTCAGACATCCTGTCGTGCCTGTGTTCTGGCCCACGGCCATAGCCACTTCTACGCTAACCTGATCGTAGTTTCGTGGAATCCAGTGTGGCTCCTCTTAAAGTAGAAGGGAAGAATTCGATGCGAGCTATAGAAAGGTAGCTGGCCGTCGTCTCGGGAACGCGCCCAGGAGAAACCCCACCGGGATGGTAATGAACGTGCTCTTTTACGGATAGACTCTTGTTGTCTCGCACACTTTGTCGACTCTATTCCTGTGATACGGAGGACGGATACTGTGGTTAGTCTAACCCCGTTCGCGCTGCACAACATCTGCACTGCACAGCAGTCTTAGCCAAACCATCGACTGCACCCCCAGGCTCTCGACATTCGACAAGCCAAGAGGTGCAAGCCTTTCTCACATTGAACTCCACTTTACGCCCGTCGGGGAGGGGGTCGGTTCAAGGGAGGATTACGTACAGCCGTGGAGACCTAGTCATTCCAATGCCGTGCTTGGTCTTGGATGACGCCGTGGTTCGAATGACAATCTTTCTTTGGTGCAAATGTCAAAAACGTGCGAATACTGGAAGAACGCTCGCTGCCATGTCGCAACGGAAAGAAGGCACTTTCGACGGTCCCAGAATTCCGAGAGCCTCCTGAGACGCGCTAGGTCGTCTCATACAATCGTTCAACTTGCTAAATAATACCTATAGGATAACGCATAAGTTATGACCACGGAACGGGGAAGAAGCCGAACACCTAAATTCTGGGTAATTCGTACCCGGAGCGCCAGTTAAAATACTCCATTGTCAGTGAGGCAGTGAAGAGCAGGTTCCGTCACGCCGAGAGATATAACGGGGCAAGGGAAAGGGGCATCAGCAGAGACGGGGGTTCCAGGCTACTCCAGTGTTTGTTTCGATGGAAACGAAATTCGTCCCATGATCGCCGAGCCTCGCCAAGCTTCCAACACGGAGAGACAGAGGCGACAGAGCAGGCTTGCGGCTTGCCGTGCACTAGGAGAAAACCAGATCGAAGCCCCCTCTCATCTCAACGGCATGTGGGTGCTTGATGTTGTTAACCACCCGCTTCTAGAACCCATCGTCGTAGAATTATTCGTAGACATTTCTGTAGGCGTTGATAAAAGTCGAAGGAGTCTGGTAATTGTCTTCCCCCGGTTGATTCGGCATACGGGAGTCAATTGCTCCCCGATAGCCCTCTCTTTCGAGTCCTTTGCAACCTCGCCAGGCTCACCTTGCTGGATTTGAGGGGAATCAGGCAAGGTCACATGCACAATAGTCAATATTCATTTCGTGTAGGTGCTGGTGCGGGTATGTGCTCTACCATTGTTTCTCTGCGTTGGCTGTTCGCTTGGTTTTGGCCCTGGAAGCATGCCCTCCCCTCGCCCATAACACCTTTCGATATTATGCGTTTGGAGGATGGAGAGGGGCTAATCCGTCCCGTCCGTCTCGTCCGCACGTTTCGTTTGGTTCTTCGCCCGGGGCGCCGGCCATGGCAGCGAAGGTGTGAACGGCCCCACGAACTCCATGAAGGGCCCCCAAGAAATGGAGCCCAGGCCAGGGGTCCAGATGCAGGTACCGCGCACTGTATGCTGTATCCGAGCGGCCACAAGAAGAAACAACAACATCATTTGCGGCTTATGGAAGACTCTATTCACAGGCGATCGTGAACGAGGGAAAGCGAGAATTTGCTTGGAGTCGTAGACTTTGGCTCCTTCGTGGTGAATACGAGGTGGAGGGTGTCTGCGGTACGAGGTGAGGAAAAGCCACGAAGCTGCCCCCAACAGAGCCGCCCAACGGATTGTGGTGGGTAGATACTGATTGCGAGTGAATTAACCACAAGTTAGAAGCAGCGAATAAGTTGACACTACCCTCGGGAGCAGTGAAGAGTGCTGGCCAGGTAGGTAGGCGGCTTGCAGGCGATATGGCGAGACTGGAGATTTCAATGGTGGTTACACAGGTTGATTTTGGCGCATGCCTCCTCGATACGTGTGCGTGAACAAACTTTTTGGTCGCATTCTCGGATCGGATTTTTGGCTTGTATTTTTCTTTTCCTAATTTCTTTTCTTCCATTCTCCAATATGGCTGGCTCTTTGTGCGCCGCCTATCAATGATGGGGTTCAAGCATCGAGGACTTTGTGCTGGAAACTGTGACAAGCGTTGGCTGTTGAAATGTTGGCATCAGGTAAGCGTTAGCCGTAGCTGAGCGACGAAGACGACATGCGAGAGGTTGGAATACCCAGTGGAGTCGCTAACACTGGCTTGTGTCGTCGTAAGTCGGCCCATTTATTTCTCAGATATTTTTGTTCCATTGGATTCTGAATCTCCAAAATGCAGATGCAGAGCCGTTGACCCTCCTCAAGCATCGGTTTGGGGAAGGTGGGCGATCCTTCATGAACCTCTGTCTCTAGCGTCAAGATGCTTCGTCATTGTTGGTATCCGTAGGTATCCGTAGGTAGGTTAGTGTCATAAGATAGCGTACCCGGGAGACATGTCTGGTCTGGACCTTTCTGGATTCTGGATGGCAGTTGGTCAAGCGGGTTGCGCCGCGTGCGCCGCCATGATCTCGTGGGCGAAACCAACGGCGCCAATTGAACGCGCAGAAGACGAGGTCAATTGCTCATGGACACGGACCTTGTAGCCAAATAAAGACTTTTGTAAGGGAAAACGAGACACATTCGTCGGGCTCGCGCAGGCCATTCCTTTCCTGGACCTCGTGTGTTCGTGTCTCGTGTGTCTTGTCAGTATTTTCGACGCGGTGCCTTAGTCAGACTTTGTCGGTTTCCTCTCTGCGCCTCTTTCGTCCCATGCATCATCTCATTTCATCTCATCCCGACGGATGGTGGTGTGTGCTGGTGCTGTCACCTCTGATTTGATCGGCGGGATGTTTCTGGTTTCCTTTTCTTCTCTGTCTCCTTGATGCCACCGAAGGGCCTGTGCTTTCAACTGTTTGTCTGTCCATCCATCAGCCTTTGCCTTTCCCTCCAAAGCTAATTGACAATGTGCAGTATATCCATGGACCATAAGGTACGATTGGACTCATTGGCAATAAAGAAAAAGGTTGCGCTGGATGATACGCCGTGTGTTGACTGGCGTACTGTGCGGACCTCGATGTGACAGGCGCCAAATGGGAAGAGTCTGAGTGCGTGAGAGGGATAAAAAAGATAGCAGCAAGAAAGAGAAGGACAGGGTGCCATGGCGTTGGGGTGCATGTTCCCTGCCCATTCCCTGTCCCCTGTCCCCTGTCCCCTGTCCATGGCCCATGGTGCCCGTTCCTGGTCGGCCCATGCCCCCAATGCTGGTGGAGGGGGGCCACTGGGGGCACTGAGGGGGGGGGGCCGCTCCCCGTGATAGTGGACAGTGGAACTGCTCACTGCAACTTTGGCGACGTGTGGTTGGCCAATGGGACGCGATGTCCTCCAACTAGCAGCCACTCGCCAATATCAAGCGAGATTATCGAAATCTTCCCACCTGCGAGTGACTGCAATCTGCGTGTGTGTGTGTGCCAGTCCTACTGCGTACCTTTCCTAAGGTACCTTACCTTGCCTTCTTGCAGTCTATTTTTCCAATCGTCCAGTGCCAATGTCGTGCCAAAAGTGCAAAGTCCAAGGGCCCCCCCCCAGACTCTAAGAGCAAGAACAGATTGACGTGAACAAGGCGACGCCCACCTCACGTCGAAGCGCTCAACTTTGACCGAAAAGGTGTGATTTTCCACTTGACTGGACCTGCGTCGTTTCCCTTTCCAAACGGATATTGCACGTTATTACACTACGGAGCACCTTACCTTGCCTTACCTTACCTTACAGCCCGGCCTACGATCGATCCATTGCCTATTATTATCGTCGTGCCTGCTCACTCCACTCCCCTCCCCCCCTCTCCCCATCTACGGCGCCTGTCTGTCTGTCTATTCTCTTCTTCTTCTTCTACTCCTTCCTCCTCTTTCTCCTCCTACTCCGGCTCCTTCTAGTCTTCTTCTCTTCGCCTCCTGCCAACAGCGCACGCTTACGCCGCCATGCCATCATCCTGATCCATCGGCCATGAGAACTGGCGGATGCAAGGGAGACAAAGGATCTCGAACACGAACAACGAGAAACGGCTGACACGAACTGTCCACGGTCACTTCCTATTGTTGGCTTTTTTAAATCCTTTTCGGGGGCAACCGCGCTTTCGCGCACACGGCATCCAGAGGACATTTTCAGAAAGAGTGTAGGGGAAAAGAACGACCATCTGTTGATTCGGAACGAAAAAAGGGGAATTGCATTCGCGCGGCCCGTTGCAGGACACCACCACCACTTCCACAACCACCAACCGCCAACCACCAACCACCAGACGATAGTACCATTTATCGACACATGGCCATGAGGATGCCAAGAATGGAATTCGAATAGATCGACAATTCCCATCCAAACACAAAGCACACACACACACTCGCTCACACTCGCTTACTTACCCGGTGATCCAACACCAGTCACTCGTTTGCCTTGTTCTATCTTTATTCCCGTCCCGCCCTGGGAACACGCCGGCTTGAAATTCGCCTCCCCCAGTTTACCAAAAAAGACAACCAACCACACACAAACGGCCGGGGCAAAAGCTCAGCCTCTGCCTACTTGGCCCAACGCCACCCCATCGAAGCCATGACTAAATCACTGCGCGGGTCTTCACTCCCTCAGGCCCGCTCATACCATCACAATCATTACCATTTACACAACCAACGTGCAGCCACCCCCGAGAATGCGAATCACCACCATCGCCAACTCGACGACCCCAGCCCGACGACTCCCAGCCCCGACGCCGCCACCTCGTCGAGCGCCGCCGCACCGAGAATCGTCGTCCAGACCGTCTCCCTCATTCAAATAGTCGATGCCACCGGCTCCCCTATCCAAGTCCAGACCATCTTCCCGACGGCCGCCACCGTGGATGCTTCATCAACCACCAGTGCCGCCCTTGACTTGTCAATTGCTGCGGTACCATCCTCAACTTCATCCACCGATTCTTCGACGACATCTTCTAGTACGACGAATGACTCAGCACTGTCAACACCGGCGCCCACGACATCCACTTCCACCGACTCTTCCACCAGTCAAGACATCTCCTTGACGTCCGATCCTTTATCCACTCCAGCACCTTCAGAAGCTGCGCCGTCACTCTACCCTACGTTGAGTGGCCAGTCAAACTCAACAATTTGTGCGCCGCCTTCCATATTGTCGCGTGTCCCAGACCGAAGCAGCTGACCCAATATCTAGCATTCCTTACTTCAACAAACTCTTCTTCAACCTCAGTCTCTACCACAACCAGTTTAACTAGCCAGCTTTCGTCTGGCACAACAAGCGTTACATCATCAATACTTTCATCCCTCTCATCGACGACATGGGGCACCAACTCGGGCTCGACTGCAACCTCGACATCGGCATCAACCTCGACTTCGGGTTCTAGCAGATTGAGCACGTCTACTTTTACCACGAGCGCCTCACAATCGCCCTCGAATGAAGCGACAGCTTCCGGAGATGGGACCGCCGGTGGAATCGGCGGCGGCGGCGCGGGGACGGCTGCACCCACTTCAACCTCCACCTCGGACGATTCTAGCGGTAGCGGCTCGCCAACGCCAACGGGAACAGTCGTCGGAAGCGTCGTAGGGAGCTTGGCTGGAGCGGCTTTCCTTGTGGTGCTGGTATTCCTCGCTCTCCGGTGGAGGAAGCGTTCCGGTGGACGCTTCCGCCTTAGTGAGGCCAGCGCCGGCAAACGAGGCATTCTGACCGGTTCTGGCGGCCCACCAGGTGGCAATGGCGGCGGAATGGTTCAACGGTCGTTATCGTTTGATCCCACAACAGCGGCCGCTGGTGCTGGGGCCGGAGCTGGTGCGATGGCCGTGGCTCACAAGCCTTCCTCAAGGAGGGCTAGCGAGCCTTCCGAAACCGGCGAGAGAGGCTTTGTCCGAGTGGCCGGCAGGAAACTGCCTTCTGTGCTACAAGCCGGAGGCGACGGTTACACAGATCCGCGCGAGGGGACCTCAGCCGCCGTAAACGACGACGAATCAGTCTACTTTCGGGACTCCCAAGCCTTTTTCGACCCCAACGGTCAAACAACACGCCTCGCGCTCGGCTCGCCCATGAGACCAGTCAGCGGTGTCGTGGTCTTCAAAGAGTCGCCGGCCCGAACACCAGTGACCGAATCGGCGCCGTTCCCGCCTCCGGCCGCGTCTCCGCAGACAAATCCGCCGTTCGTCCCATTACAACCCCCCGGTCGGGACCCAATTGGTCGGACCTTACCTTCGCAGGACGGGTCTCGGGGCTCTCGGGGTTCGGCTTCTAGGTTTCACGAAGACATGTGAATTCACTTTTCCTTTTTGCTCAACCTTTTTTCCACTTCTTCTTTTTCATTCCTAACTCGGCCAATGCCGAGCTCAAGGGCAACGCCGGGACTCCAAAACGTACCTTGATGCGTATTGTACATTCTTACCAATCTTTCAAACGATAATTACTAGTACTTATTTGGGGGGTTTGGGTGGTTGGGGGGTTACACCTTTTTTGCTTTGTGCCATCTTTGCGGACTCTACGACGGCATATGGAATGGCGTTGAGAGAGTTTCTGGCACGTCTGATACGAGCCCTTTGCGTTCCGGTCGTGCGGAAGGGAGGTGAATCCATGGAGAAGGGGAAGGAATACGGATTCATTTTCTTATTTTTTTTTTTTTCAAAGCAAGCATGCATGCGTGCGCCGGCTTCAGACCGCAATTGCTGCATTGGCATCCGCTGTTGAGGCGAGCGTTCGGCTTGCTTGGATGTAGAAAGGTTTTCTTTTCAGTTTCGCCTCAAGAGACGAGAGAGAGGGAGATAGAGGTCAGAGGCGGACCAAAGGGGATAGAGGTGGAGGTCAACATTAAACATTTTACCTTTTCTGGCCACGGCCATGAAGGGGAGAAAAAGAGAAGATGAAGTCTATCCAACCTCTTTTCCCCAACGATTCTTCTGCCTCCTACACTATTTGCCTTGAGCGTACACGGTACAAAACCACATGCGTACGAAGTAAAAGGCGTGACCAGCTTTTTCCGCGTATGGAAGTTAGTGCACTCCCATGTGACGAGAACTTTATCTCACTCGAGCTTTCTAACCGCTGTTGGGGGCTCCACTTGCGATGATGAACATGCCGTGCCGTGCCCCCGTCCGATCTTTTCCTCCTTGGAGGATGAAGGGAAATCCAAATGTAGCAAGACCGGGGCCGAGGGACCGGAAGGGCGGCTGCGTTGCGTTGGTGATGGGATGGGATGGCTTCTTACTGAGTAGTGTAAGGAGGGAGGGAAAGAAAGAAAAACTCGGGCTGCCTCCTCGTGTCTCTGAAGCGGGAAAGCTCGTAAGATTCGGAAACGCGGACCCTGAATTCATGGGGAGGGAAGTTTTCCCCCGAGGCGGAGTTTGAACTTGGGGGGGGGAAAGGCGACTCAGACCCAAGACGTTGTTGCCTTGGTGGAGTCGCCTTTTTTGTGAACCATCTTGAGACATGTATGAAACGGTGGGAACCAGAAAGAATGGTCGTGTCGAGCTTCTTTTTCTTCAACAACCACCTAACCAACCCCGTCCCAGAGTTCTGGGGCGGCAACCTTGTGTCCCGCTTGGGCCGCGCCTTTACCATGACAAATTCGTCTTCAAGTTTTGGGCATAGAGCTGCTAGTCTTCTCTTTGCAGCGTCTTTCACGATCCCGATTGGGTACGAAAGTAGGCACTCACCTCACAGCGGCCTGCTTCTTGTAGGGCGGGTGTCTCATCCATCAGGTGTTTATGAGTGTTTACCATCTCATCCCATCCCAGTCCCCAGTACCATCATCTACAACACGGGATGAAACATCTTTTTTGGGTATTTGGTCTCAATGGAGGAACAGATGGGCATCATGTGCGAAATGCCCACACATCTGCACACCCGAGGCCGCTCATGACTGTTCAGTACGAGTTGCTGCGAAGAAACTGATGCTCGAGGTATGTTGTCATCAAGGGTCGAGCCTCATCTGCCCATTGTCATCTTGCGATACTTCTCGTATAACACGATCGTGGTGGCTTCGGGTGCTTCATACCTGAGGGGGCAAAGGCAGCATAAGCCTCCATCAGGCCGGAGCTCCCTGCTCCATAACAATAGGAGCCTCGCATAATACCCGAGCTTGGAGTAAGAAACCTCACTCCCGGTCTCAAAAGCTCCACTTCTTCGAACCCTGCGGCATCTTCAGCCGTCCGAAGGTGTCGAGACCAGTATAAACCACCCACGACATCGATGGCACCTGCTTTCCGTACACAGGCCCGGGATTGTTATTCGAGATGGGCTCTAGTAAGTCGCGGGCCTCGGCGCAATACATCGCAGCGGCGGCGTAACCTGAGGTAGTGAAGAGCGAGGCGCGAGGCGACAGCACGAGGTCTTGCTGGGTTGACGTTGGTATTGATGTGCGATATTGGTTGTGTGCCTTGGTTTGTCTCGTGACATGCTCGCTATAGAGGAATGTGCGGTCTCCAACGACAAAGGTCATGCGCCGTATTCGTAGAGCGTTTCCCCAATCCTTCCTCGCCCATGATGAAATATTGTGGACTTATTGAAAATATGGATATCGAGGAGTCGAGATATGTGCAGCGGCTTGCTCGGATCAAACAGCTGAGCCCCCCGCCTCCCGCGCGCGCAATCCACCCGGCCGACTGGATGTAAGCCTCGCCGAGCTGGTTGGGCATGCAAAGAGGCCTCACCTTCCGACTGTCAGAGTAGTTATGAACAAGCCGTCACCATAGCTTCAGACAGGCCTCCATAACGATAAAGCCATTATCGATTAGGGGGGTGGGGGCTCCGTCAATGCCCGCGAGCGGTACCGCGAACTGGAGATAACTCCGTGACGAGCCCAGGCCGGCACGCCATATGCGCATGCGAGTGATTCTCCGTGCTCAACGCCGGACGGCGGTTTCCCTCGTTGCGGTTGGCTAGCGTCTGTGATTGCGAGTGAGTAAGAGATAAGAGGAAGAGGGAGAGAAGGTTCTGCGCTTGTGCCTGTCACATCAAGCAAACCCTTGTTCCTGGACTGATTCCGAGCTCGTCTAGCCGTCAAGACTGAAAAGGTGTGTCCGAGCCACCAGAAGATTCATCTTCCCATCAGGATTGAGAGCTTTCTTGAGAGCATGGCCCCCCAGATATTGACGGATACCGAGTCGCTTTCCTGATTGAAGTACGGGGACGAGTAGAGTTCGTGATGTCGTTGATAAGCATCCGTCCCGTGTCCATTCTTATTCTTTTCTTCTGTGCTTATTTCCTTTTCAATGACACCTTCTCTCAGGTTGAGGTGAGGATCCAAGTTGTAGAACTAGACATCTTCGGACGCTCGGGACGTGGAGAAGCCCAGCTTGTAAGAGGTGCAGGCCAGGGGAGGGGGATTGATTAAGGTATCCGTACATGCACTGCAGATGGCGCCGCACGGGCGGTAGATGGGGCCTGTCAAGCCGATTCAGCCGATATGATTCGCCACGAGAGTGTTCCTCGCACATGGTGCCGCGCCAGGGGGTTGCAGAGTGACAGAGAGAACGACGGGGGGAGGTCTGCGAATGCTGGGTATTGCCGTGTAGGGGTGGTCGAGAGCTGAGACAAAAGAACAATTCCGATATCAAAAGGGTTAGAAGTTTGGGGGGGTTAGGCCGGTAAAGTGGGATGGGTGTGGAGGAGAGCGACCTACATGACGGTGAAGTGATGAACGGTGGAAGCCAAGAAGCGGGAGACGAGGTCCGCCACGGAATCCAGGCGCTCTCCTCGTAGTCCATGGCGTCCACGGGTTGGAAGTTGGAACCGACCAGGCGGGCAACCTGGAAGTAGAATCGATGAGGGAGCAGAGGAGTATCTTGGCGTCGCGGCTCGGGGTAGACGTGTCTCCTGGCATCCATCGTACCCTGGAACGGATCTAGGGCATTGTACATAGATGCAGGTCTTGCGTTGCCTCTCTCCTGACAGCTGTACCTAGCTTTGTAGCGTCGATCAAAGTGCCGAGTCATGATCCGTGAAGTATCAGACAGCTGCTCCGGCGCGGCCAAGACGAGCGAATTGGCGTCGAACTTGGGATGAGAGGGCCGTTGACTGGCGAAGAAAAGCGACTCTACACCACCACCATTACCAGTACAATGTGGTGGTGGTGGTGGTGGCTTTCGAGATCCTCCAATGGCAGACGAGGCAGCCGAAGACAGCAAACCAAAATAGCAAAGCGACGTTTGGGTGTAGAAAAACGTGGCAGAGTAATAAAGCGGCGCGGATTATTACATGAGATGCAGTTGAATGCGATGCGATGTGCTCTCTTTAATTCATTGGTACTAAGGTACGTATAGCCGTATACGTTGATCTGGTAAGGAAGGAAGTCGACCTCTCGCTTCCTGCCATTGTCACCCTTACACGTACTTCGTACCATCTCGTCCTCTGGGCCGGCGGGCAACA